CTGGCTTGTCTTTGGAAAGAAAAGGGGAATTTTACAAAACATCCTAGATGAAGAAACCTACTGATTAGGCAGCTGATTGAATCACTGAGGTTTTATCTTCACTTGAGGGCCTGATTAACTACATGGAGGTTAAACTATTAATTGCAGTCTTTTCTCCCCTAGAATTTAAACAGACCAGGCTTAGTCTTGTTTCCAGCATGCTTCTCCCTGTGGCTATTAATAGTATAGCAATGGTCCCAGCTTTTCAACAGCTCAGTTAGGCTCAGTTCTCTGCCAACACAACCATACTCTCTTATTCCCTCTGACTAGATGTAATCAACTACCATCTCTTCAGAACCGAGGTGCTCAGACCAGACAAATACCGATCAAACTATATGCAACTAACTGACCAGCCTTCAAAGGCTAGTTATTAATTTCTGATAGCTGAGCAGCTGGGATGGCCTATTCAACGGTTGCCTCCATTGCTTGTGACATTAAAGCTATGTAGGATAATAACATTAAAGCTATGTAAGATAATAATCCTTGGTTTCTATACACAGTGTCCAAGAAAACTCATTCAGAATTTAAGTTCCATCTTAGGATCTGAGGCAAGGTCTATCCACAACTGATTCTATACATGCGTTGTGACTGAGGTATTTGCCTCCTGAAACTGATAGAAGACAGTAAACTTGTTTTAAAAGTCCACACACACAATTACTGAGTTAACGTCCATAGAAGGCAGTAGATCACCTCTTTTACAAGCCATTAACACTGACAGCTTTAGGTCAAATGCTCCTGGATTTAAGGCTCATCTTCATTTTTTAATATAGAAGAACAAACTAAGTTTCACCTCTGAAGGAGGTTAACCAGTTCCCAGACTGGTTTCACCTCACATGTTTCAATTTGCCCACATCTCAGTCAGGTTACTTCATGGTTTTGTTTCACTTGACCCCACCAATGTTATCAGGACAACAAACAGGCTGGGTCCTGAAAACCAACGATGCTAACAGAACTCCAGTTGCACAGGATATATCACCAGCTCTTACGTAAATGACAGACGTTAATTCCCAGTCCTAGTGAGACACTAATGTAAAAAAAAAAAAAAAATCCAGCTTTCAACTTAAGTACTTAGTGTCATAAATCCCAACAACATATCACTTACCAGGACAAGCACCAAGCTGTCCTATTTTCCCTACAGTCAATTTAAATAACTAAAACACCACATGAACAGCAAGAATCAAGTGGCTCCACACTACAAGTTTCCAGAACTCCATTCTAGAAATCAATTTGTCATCTTCGTGTATACTCTGACCCTACAAAGTTTGCTTATTGTGTCTTTCAATTGTTATTGTTTAAAAAAGCCCCTCTATCTAGAAAACTATCTGAAGTTCATTCATCTTTGTGGCTGAACAGAGAGAAAGAGCAGCATACACTGAACTGTTGACAGGCATCTGCAACACTTGCTCATTAACAATTTCAACTAGTGACTGAATTGGAAATGCAGCTCCAAAAATTTGCTTTTGCAGAAAGAAGCCTTCTCCATCTCTCCTACTCACCTTGCTCTACTATATATCAAAGCTAAATGTGATGGCATGCGAGATAGCCTTATATGTTGTCACTGCAGTTCTCTGAAGACATTCTTTCTATACGCTCAAAATGTTCACTGCTCCCGAGGACGACTGTTCCTTTGAAAAAAATTCTCAAAGTGATCACAAATCATGTAGTTTTTAAGAATACATGATGGTCTTCTGGCCAATTACATGCAAGACAACTAATGCGAAGTACAATAGAACAGATGTACAGCATTGTGCTAATAACAGAGAAGTTTCAGAAGCAGTACCGCAAGCAACACTACCAAGAACCCATAACAAGGCTCTGCCATTGCTTTAGCTGTTGGGAGTGTTTTTTGCAGTTTGGATGAAGGAACAAGTAATATACTTGTATTCATAAACATCATTATATTCCCATAACAGCCATCAGAGATTGAGGCTCACTAGTCACTTACACATATAAACAGTACAGAGAATTAGCAGATCAGTTTGAACAGAAATCAAGACACAAGAAACTACTGTCCTGATTCAGGCAGCACATTAGCATGCCATTCATCTTATGTTCTCTGTAAGCAGCAACTCAGCTTCCCATAGCATCTGTATTTTGTCTGTGCTGCCTCCTATTAATATCCTATTTAGTCACTGGGAGCTTTCTAGAAAGATCTGAAAGGAGATACATTTTTTTTTAACTTCTGTAAAGTTTCAGTAATTACAATACCTTACATTTTAAGTTTAGAGCCTCCAGATTTTTCATTAGTTTTAGAAATAATCTGAAGTATGAGAGAGAACAAACTTATTCTTGCAAAGTAATACACAAAACCCCCTTTTGTCCTCAAAACCCAATTTCTTCATACTATTTATTCCTCAGCTACCAGACCATCTCAGTCTAACATCCCAATTTCCACAAAGTTTTGATGCCATGGAAGGCAGCAGCTTTTAAAAATAGTGTGGTGAACAGAAGCAGGCAAACAAAAGCCACAAAGCCTCTTTTCAAGAATGCATTCTTGAAGCCATTAAAAGATCTACCTGTGGCCCAAAAAGTAGTATTGGGACCTAATCATCTACTGTTCTGATTCCAACTTCTGTACCCTTGTAAAGCCATTGCTTTACCTCAGTTTCCCTTCATCCATTAGTTCAGTTTCACTAACTTAAAAGCAGTGAAGTGTTTATAGTACACACCATTTAGAGGTGACCCAGTGACTCAGAGTAACACTATTTCTCTGCTTGTCTCCCACAGTTAACCAGCACCACTCTACTCCACATCTACTCATAGTCAAACCAACTGCAGGCCATAGTACTCCAGAGCCCCACCCATAATTCCACAGAATCCAAACAGAAGTTTTTCAGCCAGAGTCCTTAAACAAGGAAAAAACATTGTCCTGCTATCATTAAGCAGCTGTTCAATTTACCCAACTGAACTTTTGCCAACTTGATCCACAGAAAATGCCTACAAAGTAACATTATCTCTAAAGCCTTAAGGCAAATTAAAAAATTTCATGACTGGGAAACAGCACTGTGCAGACAATGAACAAAGAAGCACTTTCATGCAGGACTGATCCAAGGAGGTGCCATCCTAGCTGAAGGCTGATGCTTAGAAAGTCAGTAACACTTTCACAAGACGGGCAGCTGAGAAATGCTTTCTGGCTATGAGCAGACCAGACCTTGGCTATCCAGCTGTTATATCCATCACTTCCAAAAAGCGCTACGGTCTGTGCGGAAATCAGACGTACAGAGGCTTCTTGGAAATGGCACAGCTTTCAAACACTACAACAATTTCTTTTCCCTATACAAAGGGTGGCTAGGAATTCTGGTACTATTCAGCACCAGATTAGCAGGATGTAGCCCAACATGCATTTTAAGCAACACAACAAAAAAGACCTTTTTTTTGTGCTAAATTGGTTCCTGATCTGATTCACCTTTCAGCTCTGATGGGTCTTGCTGGCATAACAGCAGGAGAACAGTATGGAATGGAAATTGCTTCCATTCTCCTGGCTTGAACAATTATCACACTGTAGCCTCAGAAAGGGGCAGAAATGCCTTAGTTTGAGTACTGCAAACAGAAATCAGTTACACATTCCTTGCTTTCCATTTCATTAAGCAAAACAGATACTGGAAGAAACCCAGAACAAGCAACGCCTGAGCAGACCACAGACTGTTGGCAAGTCATCAGCTAGAAAGAGCTCAGTCACTTTTAAGACAACAGCAAGACCCAGCCCTTTTGCACAACCTTTCATATAGTTTGACGCTTGGTTAATATCTATTCTTGAGACCAGCACTGGGGACAACTCTTGGCTGGTACAGGTATCGTACACAGACCACTTGTAAGCACTCAGTGGTAGCACAGATAAAGGCTGCTGCCTGGCTGTGCTTGTCTCAGTGATGACTTCTCTATTGAAGAACCACAAACGGCAATTGCTGGAACTTAACTCTGTTCTCAGATCATGTAAGCAAACCAAATGAAACCTGTTATAACAGGAAAATGCTTAAGTCATTTCTCCAGGAAGCTTTTTCATTGTAGGAGTTATCTGTCAAGCTAGTTGGTCAGATGACCGATGTTCAAAAGCACAGTTCTTCAGTATACACCACCACCTCGTGGCCAGATGCCTGAAACTCCCAAAACTGAATATATTCTGCTGTTTTGAATTCTAAGGGCTTCTGAACTGAACACCACTGACAGATCCACAAACTACACTGTCATCCTGTGTGAGCTGCTCACAACTTTTTAATTACCTGTGTAGAGGGAAAAGTCTCCTACATGCAAAGTGCTGTGTCATTTCAGCTTCACATCACAGCTGCAAACTATTTACTTCATGACATAACTGAATGTAACTGCTACCTACTAGACAAATGAGATGAGAATTTGTGGCTTTGACTCGAATGTATTGAGACTAGTACAGATTTCCTCTTTTTTACTTTTAAAACAAAAAAGGAGAGCTAAGAAGAATATGCTGAATTTCTTCTCCTGGTGCATTAAGTCTGCTGATCTTAAAAACTGCTTTCAGCTCTCCTAGTGAAAAGGGATTTCAGAAACATTCTCATATTTACTTTAACTGAGGTGCAAACATCAAATTATATTAGAGATTAAAATCAAAAGCTTTGCTCCTGCAGTAACCAGCATACAAGACTGTAAAAGATACAAAGCAAAATACTCTGAAAGCAATCTAAAAAGTGGGGCAAAGAACAAACAATGGGGAAGAGAAAGGAGAAGGCTAGAAAAGTCAGAGGTAACAAAAATCAATACAAGACAATACTGTGTATTAGATAAGTCTAAGATGACTTACCTCTAGCTGGAAATTCCTTATGCTGGTATTAGGCTGATCTGCCAAGTAGGATGGTAAATTGGTTTATTGCTCCAAAAGTTCCAAGTCTACATGTACTAACAGATAATTATTGATGTGTCCACTGAATTGAGTTATCTATACAAGTGACAGAGGCCCTGTTTAGCTTCCACATGTTTACTGTTAGACTCACCAACATTTGTACCATCTTCACCCATAATGCACTTCATGGAGGTGATGATTTGCTCCACAACAGGAGGCGACAGTGACGTTGCATACACAGCACTGTGAGAGTATGTCCTGAGGTAATCAATCAGTTCCTAGCAAAACAGAAGAGCCATCAGACATTGTCTTGCCAGCACTCACAGAAATGCTTTGTTGTTTCATCTTAAATCACACAATAAAACAGGCCACCACTATAAACCTCTTTCAGAGTGTCCAGGAAGAGAACAGTTATCTCGAGGATTCATTTCATGGTACAAGTAATACAGTAAAACAGTTGAAAAAGCAAACAGCAGGGACATGAGAGGGCAAGAATGTGAGTTGATCAAAGACAAATGCTTACGACAGACTTGTTTAGCCAACACCACCAGCACTGGATTGCAGCAAGGTATTTGCATTACTTGAGCTGTGTGCAGATTGTGTTTCAAAAATGTTTACTGTAACAGTGAGAGCACAAAACAAATGAAATATGGGTAACAAGGACCCACAGGTGCTTACGTATCATGCTCAATATAATTGTTTCCCCACAAAACTCACCTAATGGGAACGTGTCACAAAATATTTTCTCTCATTTATCATCACAATATAAATACAACAGCAGGTGTAATTTAAACGTGCAGGAACCTCAGCTCACCCCTTCCCACATTTCCCAGTTAAACACACCTGTTACATTTGTTAGAGGACAAAAGCAGGTCATACAGCAACAAAGAACCAATACACCATAGATCCAGGCTGCCTACTGTTAATTCTAACAAAAGCACTGTGAAATACCCAGACTGTTCCAGAAAAAAGACCAGTACAGATGCTCTATCTTCTGCAAACAGAAAATTGATAATGACCACCCTGTAGGTAGCACAAGCTGGTAACGTATTACAGAAATATGTGGAAGTACACAATTCTACGTTGCTGTCTGTCTGGAGCCAGAGTTAAATCAAAGGACGACTGTGAAATAAACTACATAAGAAGATTTAAGGCCTCTTCCTTGTGAGGCAATCCCTCCAGCAGCAGCCAAACCAGAGCTGCAAAGGACTCTTAGCTGCTTCTCCCTATGCCCAGGAAATTAATCCCACTAGCTTGCTACCTTTGATTTATACAACAGTTTAAGGGGAGGATGTCAGAGTAATTTTAATCCAACTGTAGTAAGCTCCCAAAGAGGAACATCTGCAAGTCCCATCTCCATTTTGATGGGCTGAAGCAACTATCACTACTAATACCTAAAAAATTATTATCCTTGTAGGAAAATGGTAGAATTTTACTCGCAAATAAAGCTTAAAAGTTCGATCTATGACACACATTTCAGGATATGAAAAAGGGGATACATACAATTGTCTATATCACTCCTCCCCCCAAGGGGAGGGGTATGGCAAGGGTGACGCTTTCTAGAACTACCTTCCAATAGAATAGAGTCGGTAAAAAAAAGTCAAGAGAGTAAAAACAAAAGCAAAAAACCCCTAAACTTCAGCTTTTGGTGTTTTTCCTGCAAGTCTCATGAAAAGCAACAGTAAGAAATCCCTGTTTTGTGGCTCTTAAGCAGTTCCTGAAAGATATTACTACTGTACATTCTGGAAACTGAGATCATCACTGACCACGTGAGAACTATACAATTATGAGGTAATTTACTAGTCTCTTCTGCATTGCACAGACTTTTACTGTCCTAGACAGTATGTAAAATTGCGAAAAATTGCAAATCAGGGTCCTTGAGAAACAGATGAACCTCAAAATCCTTAGTGAAGGAAGGACTCCACAACCAGCCTGAAACACCCATTTTTTTTACCAGCTTTTTACCTTCTTGCCCCCAATGTATCCTCCAGCAGCTCCAAAGCTTTTGGTGAATGTTCCCATCATGATATCCACATCTTCAGGACTGAGTCCAAAATATTCCACTACACCCCGGCCACTGGGACCCAGGGCACCTATACTATGAGCCTCATCAAGGTACAGATAGGACTTGTACTTCTTCTTAAGGGCAATCACTTCAGGCAAACGGACTATGGATCCCTCCATACTGTTGAGAGACAAACTCAGTATAAGTTGATTTAACGACTGAGGACTCTTTACAGAGCCTGAAGTGCCTAAGCTTCCTTTTCTTCACTTTTTCAGTAATTATGAACACACAAAATTTGTGAGACAAGTTGTGTTCTGCAGAGAGATGAAAGATAACTCCTCCTTGCACCTGGGGCCCAGATGTCTACTTCCTACCTGTCCAACATCTTTGGGATGCTGACACGCAGACTAAATAGTGGCGGCACCAGTAAGTTAAGGCAGAGAGGAATGTGTTCATTGACAATTTTATAAATGAGTTCTCATTTTTAATTCCAACCTAATGTCAGTATCCTGATCCGACTTCTACTTACCTGTTGTTTTCTAGTTTAAGAATTGACTAGGCTCTCATTAGTAGCACCCCAAAACATCCCACTTTGTGCTGAAAGTCACTATGGTTTAAATGCCCACTAACACAGCAAAGCCTACACCATGCTCCTACTCACTCTCTGCAAAAACATCTAATCTGTACAACTCCATTCACACTAGCATCATCTAGTGAGCACAGAAAGAATAGAATGGACAAGTAATTTAAGACCTCAACTCTGATGTAGTCAGTTTAGATTAACTTCTACAGTCTAATTGTGATATGGGAAGCACTGTGGTAACACCAGGTGCAGCGACACAACAGAAAGTCCAGGATGTGAGACATGTATAGCTCAATTTAATTCACAGAGGAGATTAATGAAACAACTATCAAGTTACGATATTCATATCTTGATTTGGCAAAGGAAACAAAATATTAAGCAGCTAGATCTCATGTGGAGGTCTTAGGAATATAAAGAATAGTTTGTACCTGTATATTCCTTCCACCAAGATAAGAATTTTTTTCCAGGGCCTCCGTGTACGAGGTTGCCCATGCACAATAGCATCTTTGAGCAGCTTCTCCAGGCTTTGCATATCTGCACCAGAAATTACTGTTAAATGGTACCAAAACAGCTACTAGCTTGATCTTTGACATGACTAAAGATGGCAATACTCCAGAAACACACAAATTGTTCCCGTGTGGAGGACAGAACATACATAAATCAATAAGCATGGGCTTCACCTAGCTGCAGGCCTGCAGATGAGATTAAAGGGAATGAGTGGCTTTATGAACTCTGAGGAAGATTTTCACCATCCTAAGCCAAAATCGTAAGTTAAAGTATTAAGGATAAACAATAAGCAAGGAAGGAATGGAAAAAAAAAAGAATAAAGGTATCTCATTGTGAGGAAAAGAAAGCCATTTAGGTAGTGTGTCCTTGTGGATAGAAAGAACTCAAAAAAGAACAAACAAGCTCAAGGACAATCAGCTAAAGATAAGCAGAAGACAGACCAAAGTGCAGGATAAGAAAAGGAGCAAGTCTATTTTTTTTTTTTTTTTATTACTTTGTTTAAAAGCGAAGGGACTGGAGGTGTGGAACAGGAAGCTACTAAACCAGAAACAGAAAAGGAAGTAAAAAGAATCACCAGTGGGAAAAGGACAGTGCTCAGCATATCAGAAACTAGACAGATGTTTTTGTTAGTAGCAATGTATTCTGAAACTTACTAGCTTTGTCTATGAACATTTGACAAGATCCTAGGAGATCTAACTAATGTGAGAAAATAAATACACATTAAATTAGTTCTGAAAAAAACAGAGTAAAAGAGTAGAGATGGGAGAAATCAAATCATAAAACCTAAACGACTGAGCAAGAGACAGATGCAAACACCAGGGCATGAAAAAGAGTAACAAATAATCATGGAAAGAGGATTGGTAGACTAAAGCAATTTTAGCAGCGTGAGGAACTTAAGAACTAGACAAGAAATCATACAGCAAAATAGGTCAGTTAACAGACTGGTAAAAGACAGTTAATGTTCAGAAAAAGACAAAGATGACAAAGTCAGCAGGGGAGTCCCTGCCTCTAACAAATCTCTCAAGGAAGAAAGGATGAGTTTAGAGCAATTAGGAAGAACAATGGAATATAAACTTTTGCTCTGATCTCTCAAGAAAGACTGAAAGTCTGGGAACTAGATCTGACCTTCACAAAAACTACAAACTGCAGAATGAGGTAGGAAAATGTTGAAACCAATGAACAAAATTTTTAAGGGTATTTTTTAATTTTCTCCCATGATTTCTAAAAAGCAGAATATGAATGAAGCCATTAATGTCTCAGGAAAATGAAGTTAACTAAGGCAGCGTAGAGGATAACAAGAGTAGGGCTAAGAACACATACATAACTATGAATTGAACATCATCTTGACAGATCAAGATCGTTGCTTGCATTTTGCTTTCTGAGTCTAATCTGTCACTTCATTCTCTACCACAGATCCCCACCAATCTCACCATTTCTAGTTCATACACCATTCCCACAGCTCATCTAGTCTTCCTCCTCACATCAGAGCTTCTAAGCCCTTCTGCTCCTACTCAGAACTATGTCTGTTGGTAGTGTTTTCTGAAATTCTGTAACTGGATGCAATGTTCAGAACCTGTATGTCTGTAGAAATGCAGAAGTTGAACATAAACCTTGCATGACATTGCCCAGCAATCAAGATTTATGAGGAATTACGAAAAAATAAAGCACCGAGTGTTATGGTAAGCTCTACACTTTGTAAAGAAAATTATTCAAACAAATCAAAAGAAACAATAAGCACAGGCAGAAGATCCACTATCAAATAGAACAAAGAATGGAAAATAATCCTAGCCACACTAGCTTTGCTGTCACTACCAGACACTTCAAAGAGAGCAAGAGTCATCCTGATCTCAGAGACTGATAACTATAGAGAATATTAGAAGTGGCTGAAGAACGAAGGTAGTACCTTTACTAATCAAGGACAACCAGATACGTCTTTTACTGAGAATAAGAAGGAAAACCTAAGTATTTTTAGTCTGAAAGTGATTCTAAATACCTCCTTTGGAGGAAGCTGAAACAGACTAGGTAAAAATTCTGTGTGCTTTGGAAACAAACACTTAAAGCAAGTTACTCAATGAAATTAATCTATACTTCACAGCTCAAAAATTCCTTTTATACATTGTACCAATGCTGACTAGCTAAGCGAGGACATCTGTATTCATAAGCTTTTGTTACTGTAGGAATATATCAACAGCTGGTCCTAGAATTATTCCTTATTCCTCAAACTGCAAACTAACTACATGTTAATGACCACTACAAGATTGCATTACTATGCGACATGGAGTGTTAGAATAGTCTAACCATGCTGAGATATCCAAGTAACAAGAAGCCATGTTGAAACGCTTGGGCCCTAGACTTGCCAAAGGGCAGCATGCTCCTCTTCAAATGCAGATGATGTAAGCCAAAGGAGCTTCAGGATAAAAGTGGTTTTAGTTGAGATATAAAAAAAATATCCAATTCAGGATGATTAAATTCTCAGTAGCAGCAGTGTTCTGACCTTTCAGGTAACCAGCAATTGATTTCCTTGCATGAAATTGGATTTCTAAGTATTAAAGGATAGATGAGATCGTATCTGATCTACAGCATCTGCAGAAAGGCAGAGTCCACCATCTGATACTTACTGTTGTGCTTAAAGATTCGAATAGTTGCTCCTGACAGTCTTGCTCCGAGCACTAGTGATGCATGATTCAGTTCATCACTCAAAATCAGACAGCCCTAAATCAGAAGGGGAAAGAGGAAGATATTGAAAAAAGTTACATTTCACAGCCAAGCAGGTAACACCTTTCAGCTCTGACTTGCTTAAAGTCATTAAAAAAAAAAACCAAAAACAAACAAACTTCCAACATAAAACCAGCTAGTCCAGGTAAGACTGGCTGAGAAACAATTTGCAGCCTTATTATGGCAAAAAAAAAAAAAAAAAAACAAACACAAAAACACACAACTGCTCTTAACTAAAAGAACCACGTAAGTTTCACTTTTCCCCAGAAGCTCTGCAGCTGAATCTACCTCAATATCTCACGTTGATGATTAATACTTATCCTCCTATGCAGCCAGGTAAAACAGAGCAGACCATCTTGCTGCCATTCACTCAGCAAGTCTACAGTGGTGCTAGGAAACAGGCCACCAAAGTCCTACATTAAAAACCTTATCAAAGTGGAACTATTTCTTACATGAGGAGGCAACCACTGACTAAACACGTGTGCTCAGTGGTACCAAAGGGACTAATTTTCTTTAATGAACAGAATCATTAAATACTTTGTAGATGGAATTAACATATAAGAGACAGTAAGTGGAAAACAAAATTGCAGAGCGAAATTGAGACATCTTCTGAAGCCATTAAACATTACATTGAATTTGTTTGCTTTTCCAAAAAAGGGATGCTATACCCTTGGACCAGTATAAAACACAATAAGTCTGTTTTGAGAGCTGCGACAATTAGTTCAATAGCTGATATGCTGAGCATTCCGTCACAGTGTTATCACTGTACACTACAAGAATGTATTAGGGGATTAGTCTTAAAGAAAATAATAACACATCTAAATAACCTTGGACCACACCAATTGTTATGCAAATCTTCTGCAGTTCTAGAAGTGACTTTGTTAAGTTAAAAAATCCAGAAAGCGTGTCAAGATGCTCAAGATACTGCACCAAAGACATGATTGTTCTACGTTTCTCTACTAACAGTTGGTGGAGGGAAGCATCAAGAACGTTCCTTTTCTGAGACTAGAAGGAACTGTGAAAAGCACTACCTACAATCACACAAAGAGGTGTCACAGACAATAAAATTATTTTCTCCACAATAAATAAAATTTTTCACTTGAATTGTAATGTATCCAGAAATATTGTGCATCTTGGGAAAGCCAGAGACTAGTTTCCCCCAGAAACTGCACTAAAACTCAAGTGTTCAAACTGCTATTACAAGGATTTACAGTGCATATTTCAGAGACCTTGGCGTAAGAAGCATGGAAATCTCCAACTAGTGTTTGAACTTTGGAACTACTATATGAGACAGGGAGTATGTATAGTATGTCAGAGGGCATTGCTGTTGTGGGGAACGGTCCATTTTCTCTTTCCCCCACATAAGACTAAACAAAATGCCTTTCAAGCCAGCAAAGCAAGCGAAGTGCCTTTTTACTGATTTAGCCAAGGACGAACTGAGATGGACTCAGATAAGGGCATAACAAGGACTGGCAGAAAAATAAACAACAGGCTAGAGGACTGCCCCTGACAGAGTATGCATCTGGCCAATGCTGACTGGCTAATGCAGACAGTGACTGCTATAAAGGAAAGCAAGCTAGCCGAGCAGGCCTGGGAGCTTCTGCCAGACTGCTGCAATACCTGGAGCTGCTTGAGCTTGCCAACACCACTGCCTGCCGCCTGAGGGGAGGGCTGCCTGCAGCCATCCCTGGCGGGGGATTGCCGTTTGCCGCAGCCTGCCTGCTCCTGAGGAGCTGCTGCCTGCCAGAACTAGACCTAAGACTGGAGCTTGCTGTGCCTGCCTGTCTGCCAGCCTGCCTGTCTGCTACTGGGGGGTCGCCCCGGCCCCCAGGATGCTGACCCCTCCACGGAACACATGCCGAGCCACATTCTCGCTACGGAAGGACAGTAACACACACACATATTCTTTAACGTTTCTGCCGGACTCAACTCCTATCCTTTCTCTTCATTGATTCTACATCTCTCCCTTGGAGGGGGGGAGGGGTATACTTACTAGACCATAGTACCCTTGACTTTCCTTTTTGATATACTTAGACTACCTTTATTGAACCTTGGTCCCTCAATTTGTGTAGGCTTTTAATAAACCGAATAATTCGTACATTAATCATCAGTCTCGGTAACACTTTGTGAGCGTGGTGAGGGCATATTCCAATCTGCCCCCTAAGACACGGTCCCGCAGGGGCCGTTCCTCTGTGAGAGGCGAGCGCCGCCTGCGCCGTTGGGCCTCCTCAGAAACTTCTCCCTCTGGGGGGGAGGGGGAAGTCGCGGGAGCCTCCCGACCACCGACAGCCCTCCAGTATCGGCCCGCGACAGCTGTTAAACACTACTGTATCAAAACCTCAGTGTAATCATCCAGAAGTAACACCCTTCTTACAATGGCAGGAAGCAGGAAAAGTGATAAAGAAGAGAAAGAAGAGATTAATAGTCTAGAAGGAGCTTCTTCATGAAAGCAAGTACAAGCTTTTGGTAGAGAAAGAAGATTTAACAAAACTAATGAACGGCCTCTTTTCACCCTCCTGTAAGATTAGAATACATTCAGTTAGGCAAAATAAATAATTTAAAACTGAAGAGGAAGTAAAGAGTCCAGAGTATTGTCTGCCACTAGAGACAGGGCAAAGGATCAAAGAGGCCACTGCTACAACACAGCAATCACTAATGCTGCTACTACAATTGATAAGACTTCAGTTACCTTTGTCAGCAAACTTACATTTCAGAGAGCATCCAGAAGACCGATACTAAATGGAGATTACGCCACTAACTAGTACCAAGAAAAAACCACAGTTTGAGACACAGGACACTCAGGCTGCATTGTTTTATGTGGCATGTAGTGTAGACATCACCAGTCTTTACATTGGACCTTGTTTCTCCCAAACATCTTTGCTGCTAGGATTTTGCTCTTTCAAAGGAAGGATTTTTCAGATGTCACTCAAAGATAATAGATTCTGTAGGTACCAACATGCAATTCATCTCACCTTTGTGTCTCACTGACAGTCATGCCTTAGTGTCTCAAGGGCTTCAAAATACTTTCAGCCCATCAGCCTGTTAATCAGTCTCCATTTCATACACTAATAACTAGCCCGAGGAAGCAAACTTTAACATACAAGGCTGCCTCCCAGAAGGAGGACAAGATCTGGCCTGGTACTAGTCCCACGGATGCTGTTTCCCAAAAAGACTTTTGCAAACGTTGGAGATGCATACTATGACCTATAATTTCTTTACAGAATATCTGCAGGGGTTGCCACCAAAATAAAACACAACCAAACAAGTAGCTTTCAGAAACGCTAACCAACAGAATCTTTTTCAGATGAGCTTTTGCCCATGACTTAAGCCGTACCTTGCCAACTAAAGCATGAATGTTCATAGAGTTGGTTGCAAACCCCATTCCATACGCCATTGCAGACTCCACACCTAGGAACCTGGCAACTAGCTCTTCCAGCTCCTCATGTTTGTCCAAGTTTCCTGCACATAAAACAAAAGAGAAATTCAGAGTGAGAAGTCTTCATGATTGCTGTACTCTATGAGAAGAATTTTCACCAACCAGGCTGCTCTTTATAATTAAAGGCCCCTAAGTGAACACTGAAAAAAACAAAAATATGAAAAAAAATAAGCCTACTGCTATGCCATGTAAATTAAACCCAGAAAGTCAATTCACCTTCACTAAAGTAAAAGCTTCATTATCAATTAGTCTGAAGTTCAAAAGCTAGAACAAGTAACATTTCAAAGACCTGCAATCACATAACAGACTCTGAAACGTATTTGGGGAACATCCTATCTTGCTCCAACTTACCCATTTCCTGCCTAGTGCTGCATACCCCAGCTCCATACTGGGACAGAACTTTAGCTGCTGCTTCTTGGCAAGTCCCAGCCTTCTGTGCAAATCCAAGGTAGTTGTAGGAACCCATATTAATAATGTCCTTTATCACTCTCCCTGTGTACCTGTGTTTTAAACCACCACAAGTTAGGACACTCACAATTTTAAAAGAATAACTACACCAGAAGATTCCTATTTCAGTTTCCTAGACTATAGACAGAAATGATAAAAATCAACAGAACCAACCATTTAATTATTTCAGTATTGCCCCTCATCATCAAACTGAAATAAGTGAAAAAGATGTTTTCCCTCTCTTATGGCCTTAAACTAGTTCCCTGAAGAGCTTACATTAAAAGTTGAATTTGCTATCATATCTAAAGGTGCTTGAGGCTTTTCAAACCATTTGTTGTTTCTCTGACATGTCCTGTCCTCCCCTCCATCCCAGGAACATAAAACGTTCTTTTCAATTACAAAATAAGATATCTAGATCAATTAATTTGGCAGCTCCTCAAGCAGGATACCCTCTAACCACAGAAAGGAAACATCTGGCAATGCTGTGCTAACAGTACGTGACAAGGAGATTAAGGAAGAAGTTTAGCGTAAAAAGTTTTAATTATTTTGCCCTTGAAAGCTAAGGAGAGAAATGACCAGTTTCACCAGGTACTGTGCTGAAAACCTCTTCACATCAAACTTGAGATGTGTAATTTTGAATTTGTAGAAATTCTTGTCCTTGCATTCCTGGTTTTGTTTCTACAGACTACTTGAGTTCTGACTCAAAACAACTGTGTCAAATTCCATCTCAGACATTTATTTCAAGTGTCAGGGCTCATTCTAAATCAACACAAGGTGACAAGCAGCAGTGCAATCCAGACTATCTTCTCTGGGTTCTCTCCATCACACTCAAAAGCATTAACTTTATTATAGGCATGTGGCCATGAAATCTTCACACAGTCAGGAGCCTTAGTAAGTAGCCAAAAGATTATATACAAATAATCATCTTGGTTGTCAGATGTGTTTCAAAAGAACAAATTGATTCAAGTTGCTGGAAAGCTCCAAATAAACAATTCACTGCTCCTTTAAACATATAGCCTGCCACTCGCTCTTATAGACCCTCTACTTAAAGACAGTTGTTGGAAGCCTTTCCTTCAACTTTGACTCACGTAAACGTCCAGTTATAATCATGGGAAACTCTCTCCATCATGTCCACTTTGGCCCCTGGCACACTGCAGATTGGACGGTTCCAGCTGTCCCGAATGCGCATGTAGAGGTTTCTGTTGTAGAAATTTTCAAAGTCCTGGTACAAGGGGACAAAGTCCTGAAACACATCAAAAGCACTCAAAGTAAAATAAAAATACATATTATAGCCAACTAGGAGTAAAAGGAATAAGTTGTTTATATATTTGAGAATATAAATTAAAAAAAAAAAAAACAAAAAACAACACACCCACACCAAACCAACGAAACCTCAAAAAAAAGAGTTCTTCATCACAAGCCCTGAAACCAGTTCCACCCAAAGTGTTCTTAATCCTGGAAATACGTGCTGGTACAAAATTATTCAGATGTGAGGCAGCAGCAGAACTAAAGAGACTCATCTGCTAATGCAAAACCCATCTGCTAGATGCGATTTCTAAACTTTCCAACCTCCAAATCTACCATGCCCCCAAGATTTCCTCAACAGTAGGTGCTTATTTGTATATAACCTAATTAGCTCATAGAATCTAAAAGCCGTCACCCACAAGTAGAAAAAAAAGCGCAATCATGGCATCAGGTCACGCTTCAAGTTAGAAAGTCTCAAAGAATTCTAACATACAGGAGAGGAAGTGAAAGCAACATAGAACATGAACAGGGAGCTACTAATGACACAACAACATCTTGTTCTCTGGACACAAATGGGACTTGAAATACTTTAGCTCTCCTTCCAGCTCTTGCTGGATAGTTGAGAAGAGCATCTCTCTCTAAACATACAATAACTCCCTCCATGAAACACATGCGCATACCATCTTTCCAAGAGGTTTGTATTCAGCCTTCAGAGTTAAGCAGAGCAAGGGAACGTGCAATTGCTCTTTGGCACCAAACAGTCTGTGTTGCGCTACCGAGCGCCAAGAATGGGAGAACTGAGGTACTCTGCCATATTTTATTCTGTACATGAGAAATGCATTTAATACAGCATTGTTATAGAGGTGCAATTAATGTAGCAGCACCAGCATTATTATAGAGGTTGCCATTAGAACGTTCACAATTTTTTGTTTTGAAGCTAGTAAGCCACATCATGGCACCTCTCTTCCGCATGGCTTATCAGCACTTCAGCTCCACAGGATTTCTTTGTATGTCCACTTCCTCAATTCTAAGCTTCCCTTCCAACATTTTTCAGGAAAAGTAAGTGACTGTCTTGAATGGATAACAGAATGTCAAACTACCTGTGACAGCAAGGACTTCTGAGTATTCAAGAACATTTTTTTTCTGACCCATTTAAAATGCTTCAAAGTAATGAGATTTCCTTCTTATTATTGAACTAAAAGGAAGTTTGACATTCAGTAGCGATAAGAACGCATAATTCATTTGCTGCTGTTGGGGAAAAAAAAAAAAGCCTTTTTATTAATCTACGAAAGGAAAATGAAGAATTTATGACATAAGTAAGAGCCAGCATAGCATTTCTTCCTGTTTTTCACAAGAGAAATGCAAACATGGTGACATATTTTTGGTGACAGGATATGTAAGGCAGAATATCTGTTTGACGAACTATTACAGTGCCTGATATCTGTAACACCAAAACAAAACTAGGGGCATTTAAAACAGCTTTTTAATAACAGCTCGAACAAATGGGCACTGACAAGCTACCACTTAAAATGCTTGACTGAAGGAAGACCACTTTTTAAATTTACTTCCCTATTTTAATGATTTAACAACTTTGTCCTTTTGGTTTGAAGTAAAGGAACCATCTAGGTCCACCCCTTTGTGTCCCACCAGAAGCTTCACAGGAAAGATGGTGTCCAAAAGTGCCAACTTCTAAGCAGATACAGCTGCACCTAAGCCCCCTTCTGATTTGGCTGTGCCTAATGGCATGCCCAAAAGGCACGAAGATACTAGTTTTCATAATTTTAACCACAGAAAACCAAACTGAATTTAGCCAGGGATCACTCCTCCAGGCAATAACAAGTATGTCCTTTCTCAGCAAAGACAGACAGCAGGAACAAGATTTTTCCATGAGCTAAAATGCAGTGGGGTAGCTATTGTTCTAGATGACTTCACACATGCCAGGTCTTCTTTGAAGGCTCTTTGTCAAGAGATGTTAAGAGTGGTAGTAGGTCCACTAATATCAACCTGTAATCCCCTAGAAAATCATTAATTTTCTGAAATAGCTACACCGCTCTATCCTTCCTTGACTTCAGCATCTCATATTGTTCCAGGAAGAAAGTGAGTTTCAAGGCTGAATCACTAACAAGCCAGTCACTTTTACAATGGACAAAAACATCTTGGTATTGACAAATGCATTTGAGAACTTCCTTCATATATGAGAAATTATATAGCTACTGTACTCTATTACAAAGTGGTGATATGCATGAGAGTACTTCTAGCAGTAAGAAATCCTGAGTCATGACAGAAAATATAATTATCTACAAGTGTCTGAAACGTGCTGCTACATCATTTATAAAAGGGTGGAGAAAGCGAGTACATTAAACAGGAATTCTGGCACAGTAGAAGGTCAATACCCGAGAGACTTTTTATGTTTAATTATAATCTACTGAGATCCTTTCAAGCATTTTCAGCTCCTCTGAACCGTATCTGCACGAGAATTCAGTTTTGCAGCAGTAATTCAAGTACAGTGACTGTCCCAGGAAACAACTGAGATTTTAGCCAGGGTTCTTGGCTAGCAATGGAAGCTGGAAATGAGTCATTTTGCCAACCCAAGCAGGTATGCCTGGCCTGATACACTCCAATCTCACCTCAGATTACTGATCAGATAGAGCATGTTTTATTTTGAAGCCCAAGCTGACAAAGCAAGAGGAGTAACAAGCTCAACTGGTGAGATAAAGAATCGCTCACAACCACCAAGATATGCAATGCAAGCACGATCTTACAAACAAACAGTGTAACTAAGCTTAAAGTGATTTAACTGAGTAGCTCTCTGTAATTAATGGATTATGATAAGGGAAAAAAGATGTCTTAAAAGTGAACAAGAATTCAAGGAAGAAATTACGGGTAAGGTAATTAAGGTCTAATACAGGACACTAGCCTTATTTTTTTGGGGTACTAAGCTGTAAGACTGTAGCAAAGAGCTCTCAGTGAGACATCAACTTAATTCCAGCCCCTCTGTTGTCCGCATCCCTCCTCAATAAACCATCCTCAGGCTAGCTCTTATGAGAAAGTTCCTTGGAATAGGACAAGCAGGAAGTGTTATTTTGGCATAAATGAAAACTGAAATGTCTATTTGCTCAGTCAGTAATTCTAGCAAGAAGTAACAAGTACAATTAACAAGTAATTCAACAAGAGGTTCTCATGACCCATGCAACTGAGAACACAAAAGAATAACTGGTAGGGATACAGTACCTTTCTCAATTGGTACAGACTTTTGGAGTTTGAAAGCCCTCTTCTGGAACTGGCATACAAGACCAGATGGTTTGGGGCTGGTTTTGTTCAGTTTTCCCCTCAGGTTGTTCTACAGTGTGACATTTCAGGTGGAGAATAGGGAAGATAGTTCACCAAAAAGACCACTTGAATTCCTTGTGGATATTAAACATTTTCAGTCTCTGAACCATGAAAAAAATCTGGGGAAGTGGAATGAAATCTATCAAAACCCATACTATTTCAAATTTTTGGCACATGCAGCTAGAGTGCTGTGCTGCAACAGAGTCCTACTGCTGGAAGCCATCACTGTCACCTCTAAATGATTTTCCTCGCCTGTATCAGAAATGGTGTGACCAGCAGGAGTAGGGAGGTGATCGTGCCCCTGTACTTGGCACTCATGAGATTGCACCTTGAGTACAGTGCCCAGTTTGGGGCACCACAGGATAAGGACGTGGAGGTGCTGGAATGGGTGCAGAGAAGGGCAACGAGGCTGGTGAGACGTCTGGAAAATACATCTTATGAGGACCGGCTGAGAGCACTGGCACTGTTTAGCCTAGAGAAGACTGAGAGGCAACCTTATTGCTCTCTACAACTACTTAAAAGGAAGTTGTAGTGAGGCTGGTGTTGGTCTCTTCTCCCAAATTACTGATGACAGGACGAGGCGAAATGGCCTCAAGTTGTGCCAGGGAAGATTTTGATTGGATATTAGGAAGAATTTATTCACGGAGAGAGTGGTTAGACACTGGAATGGACTGCCCAGGGAGATGGTGGAGTCATCATCCCTGAAGGTGGTTCAAAAAATGAGTGGACGTGCCCCCGGGGTGAAAGGCAAGGGAGCAAGGGAGCAAGAGAGCAAGAGGAAGAGCCGTGCCTTTCTTGCCCCTTTTATAGACCTTGGCAGGAAGTCCCGAGGACAGGAAGAGGGGAGTGGAAATAGAACAGGTATACGCCCCTTTCATTCAGGCTTGTACCTGGTATTAGGTTTCAGATTTTCACCCACCAGGGGCAGCAGGTGTCAAACCATTACAATGTGGCACTTGAGGCTATGGCCTAGTAGTTAGGGACACATTGGGAGGAAGGTTGGACTTGATCCTGGAGGTCCGTTCCAACCATGGTGACTCTGATTCAGAGCTTATTGTTATCTTTTCATCAAGTTCTCAACCTCACTCTTTCTAGCCATCACAGACTCTAAGAATATCAGCCTCAGAGTATCTTTCCTCCAAGTGAAGCTGTTCCTTCTAACAGTGAGTTAACTCTAACAAATTTTCAGAATAAGCACAGTCAAACAACTGCAAAGGTTATACAGTTTCCAATGCAGCGAGCAAAAGCAGCACGCTCATTCTTTTGAATTCACATGCATATGGAATTAAGAAATCTTAAAAATCTCCATTCCTGTTGCCTTAAGCTTAGAACACATATCTTACTAGTAAGGCAAAGCCTGATGAAGAAACCTAAGTACTAGTGGTCTTCCAGAGACCTGAAAGGCAGAGCAATTTCAAGAAAGACTGAAACAAGGGAAAAATAAAATTCTCCCTTGGGTTGCAGCACCTTAGCAGAGGTGCTTTGGGAATCTAAGATTTCTATCATACTGGAAATTAATACTACAAGTGAAGGTCATAATAAGAGCTTTGTAACCACTAGCTTGGGGCACAGTGATATGCAAATGCAGTGATTATGCTGCTTTTAGAGCCAAGTGTTGCACTTAAGCTAACAAATGGTACCAGGAGCACCAGCCAGGCTTATCTGCAATTCACATAATGCTTCACTGATAATATAAAACTGACTCTGAATGGAAATAACATAGACAACTGTAACAAATTTCAGGCTTCTAAAAGGAAGCAGAATGACTAGTTCCATCTCACTGCTACATGAGTCACCAAAAAGTGGAGCAAGAACCGTGTATAGTCTTTATACCATGAGGAGGCCTCTGATGAGCTATACAGATGCTAAGACAACACTGCACAAAAGACTCCAGTTTACTGCCCCTGAGATAGTCCTACAGCTGGATTCTTGTAGTTCAAGCAAGTGTTTGAAAACCCTAGATGCTTGAAACATGTTCTAACTGGGCAAGCTGCTGAGTACGAAGAGCTATGGTACAGAGTTACCAGGCCCATTTGCACAGCTGATCCCATACACAAAATGCACAAGGTCATCAAGAGGTGAATCAGACTGAAAGCAAGGCAAAGGCGATTTTCATCCTGCCAATAAAATCCCACAAGCGTTTCGCAGACTGAACTACGTTGTATGACCAGACACTACATTAAATTGGCTATGCACAAATTGATTCCAGGGTAATTCAGAATTGTTACTCTTGACACTTACCCATACCTAAAACAGACTGATAATGCTTCAGAGAGGATGTGCTACACAACACTGGTTTCCAGGAAAAGCCGTGCTGGATGTATTTTAAACAAAGACAAAACCCACCAGATGATTTCCTGGAAATCAGTACTAGCAAAGCCTGTCCCTTTTCACCCTTTTTTGTTCCAAGGGTTCCTGGAATCATTAGTTTCAATGCAAGGCTCTAAGACTTCAAGGCATTTACCCACCATCAGAGACTGTCCCAATACAGACCTGTTGGGAAACCACTTCTTTAAAGTACTTTGATCACTTTCAGTCTCTAGTTCTGATGCACAGACCAAGATTACAATATCAAGCAATAATTTAAGGAAGGATTTGTATTACTGAAATAAATTGTTCTCTAAAACAACAAAAACTGAGTAGCTACGCAGCTACTCCTACTGCCTTTGCTTTGAGCTTCTCCCCTAAGCAATTATGAACTATTTCAAAAAGCAAAAGCTAACCCTTTTGCTTGACACTTAAGATGACAATCTAGTTGGCTTTTTAGAACTTCAATAGTAAAAACCTTATTTTCCACACAGAGGTCACAAATATCCCAGAGTAACCACAAGGCTCCTCCAACTTGCATGTATTAATAAAATAATTTAAAAAAAAAAAAAAAAAAAAAACCCAACAAAAAAAACCACACCCAAACATTAAAAGGCACAAGTTTCAAGCCTTTTCTGCACAGTACTATCTGCATTCTCTTACCAAAACGTGATTGGGCTGTCAGAGAGCAGCTTGAGACTGAAGTATTTGAGAAACCATTTCAAAATAAGCCATTGAGCACCCCTCTCCCCCCAGCATCAAAATACAACCTGGCTGCCACACTAGATACACTGCAATGTGTGCTCATCAATTTGTTTGCAGGAAAACAAAGCTTAAAGCAGCAAAGTGTGAGGGTAAGTACTGTATGTTCTAGATCTCACATGATCACTTTTCAGCTGTTCCAAACTAAGCACTAGAAATGTGCTTTAGGGAAGTACACTAGGCTGAGATTTCTTCAACACCGAAACTTTTTAAAACAGGATTTCCTATTTCTCATTCTTACACAATATTCACTGACACTTCTTACTGACTCCGTCCACAGACATCCTATGAACAAAACGGAATACATGTATCTCTTCCCTGTAGACCGTGGTCAACACAATTTATCTGTCCAGGAGGTATGCTTCAAGGTAAGATGCAATGCTAGGTTAATGTAAAAAAAAAAAATTTCAACGCTAAATTGATTTTAGAAGTAGGATAATCAGTTGCTAACAAAATCTGTGCTTCAACATTCTCTATGACCATCTTTACTGAAAGCCTAATATCAATTACCTATTCCCAAATTAGACTTACTGTCCAAGGTTCTCCTTTTGTATACCCTCATGTAAGCCTCCCGACTTCTCCCACAAAAAAAAGAATACTGTAAGAAGTCTAGCACCTTACATACTGATAATAGAACAAGAATTTCACAAAAACTGTGCAACAGAAATATAACTACAGTATAGATCAATTGCACCAACACTTCAGTTACCCCTTTATCACCTTCAAGCACCATGAGTACTTGGCCCTTAGTCTAAGGTCTTGACTATTCCCTTCTGTGTCAAATTCTAGTTTACAAACAGAAAAATACAAGGGTGTAATGTTCTCAGGTAGCATAAACCAGAGTAGCTCAAACATATAACTCTCGTGAACATATGAATTTTCAAGTTGAGATTTAGCTAGCAATTTTTATTCAGATACCGGAATTATTAAAAGAGAGCCAAGATTTTTTACTTCCAGATTCCAGAATTCAGTTTTGGAAATAGTATAAATTTAAACTCCTGCACTTTTAATCAATATGAAATACCTATTATTCATTAAATTCATATAAGAATGTTTCTGTTTTGGAATTAAGTGCCTTACCATGAATCAGCTTAATTCTAACTCACATTGCTCACACAAAGAAGCTACTGTGAAGTCATTTTAGGCAGTGGCTAGTTTACTGCATATTAGCCAATCTACTGTAAAATGAGACACAATTTAATCCAGTCCTCCTTTCAAAAAAAAAGCCTTCAAAGAACTCTTCCTTCGCCACCTCCTTGATTATTTATTTGCATTAGTGTCCTCCCCACCCCCCCTGCCATTTTCTGCTAGCCAACTGCTTGTGTGGCTGCACAGAGAAACAGAAAGAAGCAACTGGAAAACAACCTCCTCTTAACATTTTGTAAGCCAGACTGGTTCCCCAAAGCAGCTGAGAAAAAACAGAACCCAATTCAGCAACAGTAGGCCAATCTGCTCCACCTCAGGAGCAAAGCTCACTGGTATTCACACTCTGCTAAGAGGACTCACACTATGAGTTGGCAGGAAGCAGCTTGAAAACTGGAAGCTCAAACAGTAGCTTTCTTAACAGTAATTAATTCCTGTGGGGAATAAAGGCCTCATAAAATATTTTACAACTACTCAAAACTAGGATTATGTATTCCAGACTAACTGCTGAAGCAGACAAGACTCTTCAGCTGGTAGCAGAAGCTTTTGTGATCTTATTAATTAATTCTAATTTTTAATTGCTATCAGTGAGTCAGAAATCAGTAACTGAGATTACTCATCAGCTATAGTGTTCTGGACTCCAGCTGAAATTGGTGTCATCCAGTTTGTGCTCTGGTTCTCATCCACAAGCTTTTCTTTGCAATTGTTTGGGCTAAAGAGAATTAATAGCATGCCTCCAAATGAAAACGCAGCCACCAGAGCAGCATCAGAAAGCCTCCCACTGTTGTCAAACTCAAACCAAATCCTTTGATAAGCATTTCTTTAGCTGCTGGCATACACAGTCTTTCTCCCAAACCCATCTCTACAGCTGGGGCATCTCTCAGTATGTTAATGTAGCTTTGCAGTAAACCAGATGAGGGAACTGCTCTGCCAAAAAAATAACCCAACTAAAGAATCATCATTTTGCTGAACGACACAGCAGTACTAGCATAATATTTGGAGTATTCAGAGGACAAGTAAAACAGCAAAAAACTTGGAACAACACTGCTGCCTAAAGAAACGCTCAATCTAAAGCCTCAGCAACAACATTCCCCACTGATCATTATTTCCCAGCAGTTACCTTTTGTTCTTCTCTTTCTGTTGCATTTTGGCATTTCTCAATCTTCCACTGCCGCATGAAATCTCGCAGATATCCAAAGAGGGTGAGAACACCATAGCCTACGTAGGTCAACACAGCAACCAGCATTGGTGTTTCTTCAAAAGCTTCATTGAAAGGCCTTTTATATAACCCTCCATTGTGCACAATATGATTTATCTATATTAAAAAAAATGGAAGAGACGCAGTTGTGAGATATTCATTCAAGAAATAGCAGGTAGGCGTTTCACAGTAGCCCACAGCTCTCCGACCAGCTATAAACTCTACATCCCTTCTGCCCAGTTCAAAGCTCTTCCAGCTATGTTCAGTCATTACTGATAAATAATGTCAAGTCTCCGTACATGAGGTTGCTAAGTCAGTGGATATAACCACAGTTACCAATTTAGTGCAGTTTAATCTAATATCTCGTTAAAGTTTCTTAGCCTGTGAAGCTACACAGAGCTAATTGCTTGGATCCAGGCCAACTATGATGAGAAACCCGCCCTCCTCTTTCACCAAGAACTAGGTAGGCCCAAATAACAGTGAGGTTTCCCAGGCTCACTACAGGTTAAAACAAAACAGAAATGAATAGGTTTATTAATCTAAACAATGCATTCTCAGGATTATGAGGACTGAAAAACTGGAAAATGTGTAATACTGTAACAAAACAAACATAATATATGTCTCCACAGCTGTTAGCCTAAAGATGCTGATGTAAACACTGTACTCACACATGAGGTGGACATGACACCACAGACAATGAAGTCATTGTATACAGTCTTCACATTGCATACATGTCAGCACACAGAAGAAAGCAAGGCTTTCTACATAAAATCCACACTAAAAGTCACCTAGCTACTTACATACCATCTCCTGAAGATAAGAGCTTGACCAGTTGTACAGTACATGTGCATGTCCATCTCAAGTATGACTACTATAACACATATTTGTGTCTATTAAAGAAAAACTTCACAGCTACAAGGCAAAGGCTCACTGAACACTGAAGGCAAAACCATCATGGTTTTAACTAGATTACTTGTTCAAAGAATGAAGTTAAAGATCAGATCTCAAAAATCAATGTATCAAAACAGAGATCCAGTCATTAGATGCAAATTTCTACCTGCATTCCTAAAAATTCTGGAAGTGCTACCATATAAATAGAATAGCTACATGTGAAATAACACTTTCCAAGATATAAATCCCGTCTGTAGCATCAAAGGTGACGTGTCTTACTCCTTGCAGAATAGACTTATTTTTGCTAGTACTCCTATGCCTAGGGAAACTACAGTCCACTAGGTAATCTAAACAGATTAAGATTGACATGCAATTCTGTAACTCTCTGGTAAACAAATACATGATGAAGGATGTTGCCAGATAAGCACAGGAGCAGCTAGAAGGAAACCAAGACAATACATTTCAGTAAATGCCTATATTAATAACACACAACAAGAAGCAGGCTAGGACAAGGATGTATCTAGGATGTTGCTAAAACTGCTCTGGCTTGTACTCAAATTGCAGCTTGAAGCTAGATATAAGAAGAAATGTATTTTTAAAAACTACTCCAATCAAAGAAATATCAATGCCTAGGAAAGAGGCTAATCCGACATACATCAAGAAAGGACAACAGCAAATAATTAACGGGGGGCGGGGGCCAGCAGAGAGAATAAAACCAGTTATTCTCCTATGACACTCATACTGCCATATGGAAAAGGAAGCCAGAGTTGAAGTAACTTCTGTAACAGTGGATGAATCAATGAAGCCAGACATACTTAGTGGCCTTACCTCACCAGATGCTGTGTTATTTTGTAAGTGACACCTGCTTACCTCAGGTGCTAGAGCAAGTCTGTACACTTCAAGCCTGGTCTCAATATCTTGAAAACAAGTTTTCAGAAGCAAGGGTCTGGTCTCGGGATAACGATTACGCTGTAGCTATGCAGTCACTTTATGGTATGAACTGCACCAGCACCTTCCTCCTGCTGCTCTTTTCTACCTCTTCCTTTTACTGACACAGAAGTCCAGCACAACGTTTCAACCAGGTTAAATTCATGATTTGGTCACTGTGGTTGCCAAGATTTTAGAAGTGGTGCAAGTGTGGAAACAGACCAGCAAAGACAGAGTAAGGTTTTCTCTTTTAGCAGCAGCACTTACCCCAGATGCAGGTAACTTGCTTGCAGCGCTTTGAGGCCAGGTTTAATACTGAAGCAGTATTAAGAACATACTGAGCATGGCAGTGGCTTAAGTTAGAAAATGACCATGCTTTGGAACAGGTATGGGAATGCTTGTTTCTCACACTGCAGCTCCAATGATGGCAATTTAAAGTTTTAACGCAGGCCACGGCTTCATATACTGTTTTTTTCAGGTGCAGTGCCAGCCAAATGTCCCTGCCCCACTCCCTCCCACTTTGAGCCATCTGTATCATCCTCTGGCTTGCACAACTAAGGTGATTCTGATTTTCAGCACAGCGTCCCTCCAACACTGAACTTATCCAGGTTGAGAACATTATTTATAAATTATATTAAATATAATATAAAATATAGAAGGTTATTTATTAGACCCTAATAGTTTTACAGCACTGCTCCACAAACCCATTCGATAGATCTCAGCAAACAAGAACCAGAAACTGTTGGTGAGAGGAGGGGCAGCAGCACCGTGACAATCAACAGATTTGGTGACCCAATGCTGCAGAGGAAAAACCATGAAGGTCTTCTTTTCTCTACCACACTTGAGATTGCTTAACTATCACTGTGGCTCCTGCTCATGAAATCATAAGATTTTATTGCATCCAGACCTGAGAAAGATCATGCACCAAAGGTCCAATTGCTACAATTTCACAGCCTGATGAAATAAAGTTGAATTTTGTGTCCTCATGCTGACAGGCTCTGAACAGCAGCTATTCAGGAGCAGTCACACAACATACCTGCTACCTGTGTCTGTCTACTGGTAGCTGATTTCTGGATAAGTAGACAGAAAACTGGCAGTGACTACTTTGGAAATTACCTAGCATCTAATAAATAGAGATCACATCAAAGCCTTAGATGTATTTTCCCAGGTAAGTGTAAATTAATCTGGGAGAGACAAATGGCTATATCCTAAGGGTATGGATTTGAGGTTACCTAATAATAAAAAAATAGCTATGAAAAAATACCCTGGAAAAACAACCACCCAACCCTATACACCACTTAAATCGGAATAAAAGCATACCAATTTTTTCCAGGTCTTTAGAGGTGCTTCTCGTTGTGACAAATGCCAGAACTAAAATTATTCCACATGGTCAAACCCAGCATTTCACTGGGAAAGGTGCTTTTGGGAATACCTGTAATTATTCAGCACATACTCCAATCAATTTCACCTCCTAGTGTTCTACTGTGCTTATACATCCTTACATGTTAACTACTACATAAACTGGGGAGTTTTTGTGCTATGCTATCTGAACTAAACATTAAAGAAATACTCTGAATGCAATTCCACAGACTTTTCATGAAGCAGACAATGACTATAAACACATTCTAGAACTGCCTACAGAAGAGACATTTGTAGCCACTGTTCAGATACAAGCCTCCCTGCCCATGGCAGAGGGGGTTGAATTAAATGACCACTTGAGGTCCCTTTCAACCCTAACCACTTTATGCTTCCGTGATTCTATTTGTTTCCCCAAGAATGCCTCATGAATCCACACATTAGCCTTCAAATGAAGGCTTACATGCTGCAAGCTCCAAGCCTGCTGCCAAAGAGCAGCAAGTACAACTCCAAAGACCAGAAAAAGAAGGTGGCTGGCTACAGCTTCGTGACTAATTTCCTTTCCAAGGGGGAGGAGGGACAACGACATGTGAGCATGTGCGGCACAAGCATATCCAACCTGATGTTCTTACCCAACTATTGCACAAAGTTACACTTCAAAGATCATGTTGGCCTCCAGAAAGCATCAGATCTCGCAGTGCCGTAAGGTCACGTACTATCAGAACGAGACTCCAGCTCCACAGACAGAAAAGGAATTTCTGCCTATACCAAGTTATTCAAACTCTTTAATGACAAATATGGAAAGCTACTTGCCTAATACCCCTTCTGCAGTTACCTCAGCGTGATTACAGGTCATTCAGCATTAGGGACAAAGTAGTGTACTCTACACAAAAACAGTTCTCATTTAAGCCACTCCACTGAGTGTAAATTCACACTAAAATGTATCCAATTGCATGCTTTATTCACTACCATCTCCACTATCTTACTAGATGTGAAGATAACTCCTTTATCAGAGCATTTAAAAAACTGCAGTTTGTAAACAGCAGTTAGCAGTAAACTTGCTTTTACTATTCTTCTTCACTATTTTCCATTTTCTAAATTTGAACAGTCGGATCTTCAGAGACCACCACAGCTCACCCTGTCAAGGATTTACAAAGAAGGCAAAATGAAACCAGCAGAGATTTTAGACTTAACCACGCTTTCACTGCCAGCACCCAAATCAGGTCACATATGAGACTGGCATTATTGTGAACCTGACTTTGTTTTAATTAAAAACTTGTTTCCCAAAACCAATAGGAAAGATTTTCTGTATATTTGCTATACCTGTGTCAGCAGGCAACTTGAATAACAATTCATCCTAAACAAAGTCAGCACGGTAGAAATTGGTAGATGCAAATGAGTGCACAAGAAGCCAAACATTCATCTGAAGGGTATCCTGCTTAACTTTCAAAAACATTAGAGAAGACAGAAGCCATGCTTAAGTACAGGAATACGTGCAGGCGCTACTGTGGACAACACACAGGATTTGTCACAGGAACCTGGGTACATCCCTCGCACGGCAGGCATACAACTTCAGGGAGAGAAGATGCTACAAGTGCAATCTCCACAGCACTGAGTAAGAGAACTAGACGTTAACTGGTTATGCTGCTGCCCCAGGAAAACACTAACACTCTGTACTAAATTTCATTTCATGCTGCCAGAAGAAGACAGCCAGAGGAACCTGGCAGACTTTATGTAAACACCTTAAATGCGACTATTTATGCAGGAACACAACTTTGCTAAATTCTTATTACAATTCAGTAGCTTCTCATTGCCACATACCACAGTGCAAAATTTTCTACTAGCAGCTTCATAGTTTGTTTTTTTTTTTTTTGACACGTAGCATGGAAGACCACTCCCATGAGTTGCCTGCTTTTTTGTCAAATATTTCTGCCAACTA